AGCGACACTTGGACACGGCGTCAGGGACCGCTGCTCTCGGAGGATCGATCATTGAAATGAGACCAGCAAAACAGAGATTTTCGAGCGGGAAATTAGGCTCTTCGCCGTCAAACTTGTAACCAAGCGGGTATTTATCAATCGGTAAAGGCATATTACAAAAGCCTAAAATAGCATAATAAAGATAAGACAATTCGTTTCCTTTTCAAAGCGCCGGTAGTGCAAATTAAAGTATAAAATGTGTCTTTCAAAAAAGTTTGAAGCGGAAAGTAGCATTGGTTTGAACCAATATTTCATATATAAAATATTGAACTAAATACACTAACATCCATATATTTAATGTTTCTGGACGCCTGATACATAAGTAAGGAGATATCCAAAGTATAGCCGTCTAATAACAGCCTACCCATGGTGCAATATATAATAACTACGGATTCCGCACACCGGTATCTGTTGTCTTGTACGAACCCAGCAACTAATCAATTAGCAGATAAGTTTCAACTTAACTCCACAGCTTTAACAGAATAATAAATTATTCAACGAGTTCAGCGAAAACATACAACTATCCGAAATTTTTCATCCTGATGCAATCTGAAAGGTATACCGAACGGTGAACGGAACATCACTGATTACCCATCGGACAACCTTAAGAGAACATTCCTAATTCTCTGTCAAACGAATCTGAATGATACAAGATACAATAGTCTATAAACGCAAATGGCGTTCCCTGCAGAAGTTATGGGGGTCTTCAGTAAAAGAAAGGGAACCTACCGGGGGTAATATATCACCACAAATGCACTAGTGGCGATACTTAAGAGGAAACTGGGCGGAAACTCAGAATCAGGATACGGGAAGATAAGATCGACTTAAAATAGACGATAGAGGTTCATGGGTGGCAGAAACGTCGTAAAGAATCATGTTCTGCACTGGCAATTCAGCAAAGTGGTTTCAAGCGAAGGAAACTGGAAGAAAAGGACATACTGGAAGATGTAATAGCGGAAAACGCGAGACAGACGGTAAGGGACGTACACAATTAGTTTAGCGTGATAATTGTTGCTGCACTACCAGCCCTCAAGTATTTAACTTTGTTGTATTATTTATTTTCCCATATGTTACATCTTGCAGTACACATCTGCCACTGTACCACCTAAAACAGTTGCATCCTCGTGCCTTTGAACTACAGCCACGAACTCGGTTCCAATAAGGTTCGTCATCCGAGCGGGGGGACTGTTACACCACGCCTGGCCATTACTCTAGGTGAACAACCACATAGGGGTGCAGGACAGAGGACGTTAGTCTAAATAAGACAGCAGTCGCGTACTGACCAGTTTATTTTCCTGTATTTTAACTACAGACTTAATGTATACAGAAAAACTATTCAGTTCATCAAATTATTTATGAGTTTCAAGATGAAACGATGCATCGATTCGCTTTAGACTTCTTCGAAAAACGCAGGTTATACTTTAAAAGTTACAAATAACATATTCAAATGGAATCATTTCTTTTTTTTAAACCATGAGTTGGGGTCACTTATGACCTTCTTATCTCCTTTGAAGCTGATGGTGGGGCGTCATCTCAATTTCCATGCAAGCAGCCAGAGTGCTTCACTGCAAAGACAGAATTGACAGAAGCTGTGTGGAAAGCGTAACGCACAGCCTTCCGCTTTCTTCTTATTTATCTATTTCAGAAGAAAAAAACAGTGACTCGACTGAGGCTCGAATTCTCAGTTCTGAGAGTGACGCTGTAGTGATCGCAACCCCTATCCTGTGGTAAAGGCAAAGAAACACCTCAATTATTAAGTAAAATGTTACCATTGTTATTTTATCTTTGTAATAACGCAACATTTTGTGCTACAGATCGTAATTAGTTGTGTTTTCATTGTTGTTGAGAAACGAGAAATCCTATCCACCTATACGTCATTTCTGCCAGGTGATCGTTGTTCTATGGCATAGAGACAACTGCTCCAACGAAGGAAAAAAATGACAGTTGAACAGCGTTGAATCAGTGTTGGCTTCGA